AGTAGGGGATGTTACTGGGTGCCCAGGGTTTCCTACAGCCCCTTGTTGCTGCCAGCTGGCTTCTGCATTCCTTACAGTGTTTGCCTCTCCATGTGTGTTTCGTGTGCTCCATTCCTCTGATGTGAGCTTGATTCAGGGATGTACACTGGGTGCTCTCCCAGTCCAGTGAGTGTCCATCATGGGTTCCTTGGAGTAAGGCAACAGAGCCCTGTGTTAACACTGTTTCTTTTCCACACCCTTTCTGCTGATCTGCCCAGTCAGGGAGGCTTTGAAGAGACCTGTGTCATTTCTACAGTGACTCTGAGACTCCCACCAGTGTGAAGCTGCAGTAAGCCCCCTACCCCCAGCTGCCATGCAGCTCAGCCTGTTAGTGGTCACCTACTTGGTTGCGTTTCTTCCTGATGTCTTTGAATTCTTCCTTTAGAAAAAGGCCTGAAATTATTTTTGCAACAGTAATTTCACACATCACAAATAGGAGATCAAGTCGCTCAGGAATTCTGCATCTGTCTGCACTGGGACAGATAGGGCAGATGGGGGCATGTGCCCATGCCCCTTGCCTGTGGAGACAGATGGCAGTGTGCTTATGTTCTGTCTTCAGGGTCAGATTTCTCAGAATGTACAAGTGTTGCATGAAGCTCACCCTGTCTTCTTGTTTCAGGACAGGTAGTGCCTCTTTGTTGGCTACATGGCATGATTGTTTCAAGTTTTCTTGAGCCATGTCCATAGTAATGGACATCTGTATCAGTGAGTGTGCCCACCATTGTGTTACCTTTCATCAGGTGCAGCAAGTCGATGCTGCTGTGTGACCCAGCACATATCATTACCGTTTGGTGTTCCCCACATGGTGTCTGTGTGGCTTCTAAAAGAATGTGCTGTTTCTTAATTGAATTGAATTTAATTGGAAGAGCAGATGAGAAAGGAGGGAGGGGGAAGAGAGAGAAAGATAGATTGGTTTACCATGTACCATGTCACTTCCCAAGTAGCTGCAACATCCAAGGTTTCAAAGCCGGTAGCCAGGAGCTCTGTTCAGTGCTCACAGGTGGCAGGAATGCATATTTTTGGGCTGTCCTCTCCAGCCTCTACTCCTAGTGTTCCACTTGAAGATGATTTTTAGGGTGGTCTTAAGAGATCTCAGGTTCTAACAAGCTTTGTCTCGTGACTTTGCTTCACATAGTTAAGTATCTGACCTCAGTTCAATGCTCTATTTCCTTAAAAGAAAAATCTGGATTTCTTTCCACTCAGAGTCATTGCGAGGCTTGTCCCAGACCATGATTGCAAAGGAATGTCGTTCTTCCCCAGCAGGTACTCTGCCCATGGAGTGTAAGGTTTGGGAGGGTGGCCCTGAGCAAGGGATTTCCTCCTGGTCCTTGGGTCAGGATGAGTGAGTTCTTGCATGTGGAGCCCGTGGTGATCGTCAGCCAGCACTCCTCGCTGCCACCTTCCTCTCAGCGGGCACGCATGCGCCTTCTGCGGGCTGGCGTGTGATGCCAAGTAAGACCTTTTCTTTGTCATCGAGAAGCTTCCATACTAACATGGGTATGTTTACCCGGTGAAGTCTGTTTTCCCTCATGTTTTAGCTGTTGAAATTTAGCCATCACCCAGGAGGCTTCCCTCCCATGTCAGGGCCCTCCTTCACGTCTTAATTCATTCTGTTTAGCAGCAACTGAACACTCACGGGCCTGAAATGTGTCTGAGAACTGGGATGCAAAGATGGTGCGTTTGGGTGGCTAATATCTGTTGGAAGCTAACTGGGTGTGGGGAGACAGACACCACTGACAGCCCTGCCGCGGGAGTGGGTGGGGATGTATGGCATGTGCTCCGCCCAGACTCTGTGGCCTTTTTGGTAGGACTCTTTAACCTGCAGACTGGCTCTGTTCCGCCTTGTCTTCCCTGCGCCCTTGTCTCTTCTCCAGGAGCAGATGTTAACAGCAGGCATGCACTTAACTTCCCTTTGTTGAAACTCTGGCTTTGATCACCCCTCACTCCTTCCAGGAAACACATCAGCTGTTTTTTGTTTGTTTGTTTGTTTGCTTTCGCAGTTGAAGAAAAGCCAGAGAGGCATAGAAAGCCTGGCTGCACTTGCCCGGGTGGAGCCCTCTGATAAAATGAACATTTGTGCAGGTACTTACAGCACAGATCCCACTGACCGCTGGGTAACCCTGGCGGATGCTCCTGCTTTCCAGAAAGTCCTCCAAGAAAGGAGCCCTACAAAAGGCATATAGTAGGGAATTTTTCTTCCTTAAGATTTATTTGTTTTTATTGAAAAGGAAGATTTACAGAGAGAAAGATCTTCCATCTGCTGGTTCACTTCCCAAGTGGCCACATGAGCTGGAGCTAAGCCAATCAGAAGGCAGGAGCCAGGAACTTCTTCCAGGTCTCCCATGCAGGTGCAGGGTCCCAAGGCCTTTGGCCATCCTTTAGTGTTTTCCAGGCCAAAAGCAGGGAGCTGGATGGGAAGTGGAGGAGCCAGGACACAAACCAGAGTTCATAAGGGATCCCACTGTGTGCAAGGCAAGGATTTAGTCACTGGACTAATCACACCGAGCCTAGTAGGAAATTCCTGACATAGACTAGAAAATATTGGTAATACTCTATTTTGCGTCTATTGTTCTTTGAAACATTTTCTTTGAGAACTCAAAGATATCTCTGTACTTTTATTGTCACTGTATTTTTACTAGTTTATAATAAGTGTATATAGTTTGTTCTTACTGTAAATGTCATCCTGGTGGAAAACTTAAATAAATGAATGTCTTGCCAAACTGTGAGTGAACATAAAGGCTCCTTTGAAAGCCTTGAGTATTTATTGCCACAACAGATTCACAACATAATACTGGGCTCAAGAAAGATTTTTCTCAGTGGAAAGAACTTATTATCACTAAAGGTGATGTGAAATCGTTAATTTTTCCTTGGAGCATGTTGTTTGTAAACGTTTTCTGGAGATGAATTGAAATTAATGATCTTCTCCCTTGTTAAGATTTCATTTCTGTTGACCCCTGAGAGAATATCCAGTTTAAAAAGAAGAAAGCATAAAAAGTGCTAGAAACCCTGCAGGTGTTATCAGTATGTGAGAGTTACCAACTTCTTGTGTGTTCTGCTCCCTAGTGCTAGCTGAGTAATGTCATCCCTACTGCTACATTTTGTGTGAGTTCATCTGTGGCTCCCTGGTAGAATCTTGCCTACTAAAATTCCATATATATTTCAGTTTGGCTAGACCATGTGTCTTTGCAAGTTCTTCTCATAACAGGAGGAAATTGTGTGTGCGTGTGTGTGTGTGTGTGCACACATGTATGTGTGTGAGTGTTAGCAGGTAGAAGGTCAGACTGTGGTCTTCAAGAAGAACAAGCCATCCTTCATTTGTTCCCCACAGGACACTGTGTAACAAATAGCTTTATAAATGCCATAAGAAGCTCAAGTAGGCTCCAGTGAAGGCTGTTGAGTTAGAAGAGCAACTTGTCGTACAAAGAATTTCTGGAAGCGTGCTGGAACTTGTGTTAATAGAGGAGGCAGCCCGTGGAGTATGAGTCATCACCACGTTACTTTTCGTATTTTATAATGCACTTTTCATGTCAGCCGGTAGCACTCAGCCTAGACGCATTACATTCTTTTCTACAAACTCCATAGATTGAAAGTTCTTTCGCATTTGCTGTTACGTTCTGTAAGCTTTCTCGCACCTTTCCCTCGCCGTTTTTCCTTGCACAGTCCTCTGTTCAGAGAGTGTGCTGCGTGCATAATAACCCTCGGGCTCGATGACAAGTTGTGCATGAGGATTAAGAAGTGGGTAATAAGAACCAACCTATAGATAAACTTGCAGGGATCCTGGGAATTCAGCAAGCTTCAACTCTGAGAAATTGGTGAAGGCCAATTTTTTTCTTCTTATCTTTCCTAATCACTTTCTTCCTTGGGAGATCCTGTAAAATACCTGCTACACAAAAATTCCTCAGAACTTCATTGAAAGATAGAATTAAAAGATAGCTACTTTGGTGCAGGCTTTTATTTGAAATATAAACACGGTTTTATTCATAATACCTGTTTCCCATGAACCTCTTAAAGTCCTCCTAAATCCATGGCTTTCAAAAACTTTTTGCAGCAAAATAACTATCGTTTTATTCCATTTTTATATGAACTTTTTAAAAAGTCATTCCATAGACTTGATTGATTTTTAAGAGTGTACAATTTGTTCACAACTTCTGTCTTCCACCTCTGAAACTGAACCAAAGCTTCACTGAAGAGCTAAAATTACAGTAAGGCTAAAATGACGGGAGCTAGTAAACAAACATGGGAGGCTTAAGCCAAAGCAGCAACAAACCTGTTGGAGCCTTAGGGACTTCTCACGCTGTCTGCTGTTTTGTATAGCAAAAAGAAAGAAAGCGTCATTCTGTTACCAGGGATCCTAAGAGATACCAAACTCAATTAAAATTGTCTTAACTTGAACCTCGCCAGCTTATCCCACGATGCTGATATATGGATATGAGGTCCAGCTATAGACCATCTTGTTGGATCTCTTATCTTTCTTCCTAGAAACAGATTGTGGGCAGGAATGCACTGCCTGCTGCACCAACAGAGTGGACATCGCACTGACTCATGGTTTCTTAACGCGAGGAGAGAAGTGTGGAGGAATGGGCTTGGGGGGCCGCGTCAGGGCACAGTGGCATGGATGACAGGTGGCCAGCTGGAGCGGGCCAGCCTTTTCTCATTGCGTGTCTTCTTCACCCTCCAGAGCTCGTGTGAGGAGTGCTTGGGCGGTGTGTGCTGCCTCTTTTATCTCACCCTATTTCTTCATCGTTTTCACGAATTGTGTGTTCCCCTGAATAAATGTTCTCTGCCATCTGATACTAAAAAAAGAGACAGTAGAAATTGTTACACCGTTTAGTATGTGAGAGATGATAAAGATTGGGAATAAGAAACAGTGCTTTTAGCTTAAGGAAAGGCTCCCTATATTCCTTCCAGAATGACAGGAGATTATTTTCTTTCTATTAAAATGCATATTCTTTTAAATTTAGGAATAGAAGGACAGTCTGTGGAAGTTTCCAATATCGTGGACATCCGAAATACATTTAACCGGGAGATAGCCATGAGAATTTCTTCTGAAATCAATAGCCAAGATAAATTTTATACTGACCTAAATGGATACCAGGTAATTTTGCTTGAAAATATCCAAGTTATGGTTGTATTGCTATGTCATTGGGATGTGTGATATGAGACCACATAATTGTGGGTCCTTTGAACAAAATATGCCTAAAGTTGTAAATTATTTCTAAAATAAACCTGAATTGTAGCAGACAGGAGTGGTTTCTGTATCAGATTTCTAAAGGTAAGAAACATATTTGAGAGACCATTTTTAAAACATTTATTCATGAATATTTGTTCAGAGGGAGATTTGGTGACTATTATGTGTGATAAATAACTTGATGCTAAAATGAATATATTAGTGTATCTAACTGGAAAGGAAAATTAATTAGGGACTGATGGATTATGTGCCTCCCCCTCTGCCCACCACCATCCCTGGAACTGGTCTATGGGTTATTCTTTGTATATACATAAATGTGTAATCTCTAATAATGGCTGTTTCTACATTTCAGGGAAATTCCTTCTTTTTATGACAAAGTTATGTTTGTGCATGTGCAAATTGCATGCACCTATACATGCACACACACGTGCATATATTGCACAAACATATCTGTTCAGAAATGTGGGCAGGTATATATCTAATCAAAACTTTCATGAAATGGTTTTAAATAGTAGTAAGACCGTTTATGCAATAGTTGTCAGCTCGTCAGTTATCTAGTATAATTCTTTGTTACCTAACTCTTTGCCTTCTGGGGGCACGTGTGTGATGATAACATGTCTTTAAGATTATACCATTAAAAATGAAAGCATGTTCTTAAAACATTAGCATTTTACACATTCCTGGCTATGAACAGAAATAATTTTACAACATATGCTTCCGTTTGGTCTGCCTCTTTCCTGGGGATGAGTGGAAAGGGTTGTGATAATTTTCTGTGATTTCCTGCAAAAGTTAAATTTAGACCTTTTCCAAAATACGAACCTTGCAACCTGCATTCCGAATGAACATGTTAATTCCGCCGTAGCCATTTGGTTCCCAAATGAAACCCTGACTTTCTGGTGACTCATGTTCCTTGTATACAAGAGGAAATGTTTCTTAAAGTCTTAAAGGAAGCATATAGTTGTATGTGTTCATGTACAGAGAAACTAGAAAGCGATGAAAATGAAGAATTAAAATATGCATTTGTTAAGATCAAGCTTTCAATTAAATAAGGAAGTGTTTTAAAACCTATAATCCATAAATTTTCTTTTAAAATATGTAAGCCGTCTTCTGAAACTTTGAACCCAGTGGTAGTTAGCCAAACCTAGACATCTGGGCAGCCATGCAGGGATGAGAAGAACATGAATGCAGTAACACATCTGTGGCAATTTTAAATGGCGCTTTTTTTAAAAAAAAAATTTCATTCTATAAGTTAATTGTGATGGAAAAATGACAGTTTAAAAGCAGACATGGAAAATTCTTTCCAAGAATTTTCTTTTTATTCCCATTAACACTTTACAGTTGTTTGTTCACCAGCCTATTAATATTTCCTAGGGCTACCGCATGAATTACCGCGATCTAAGTGGCTTAAACCAACAAAAATATTCTTCCATGGCGTTCTGGATATTGCATGTCTAAAGTCAGCACGTCAGAGGGCCCTGTCCCTTCCAGGGCTTCTGGGGAAATACCCTCTCTTCCTGCTCCCAGCCAGTGATGTACTGAATAGCCTAGGTGCTCCGTGTGTACGTGGAGCGTTCCTGTCTCTACCTCCAAGGTCACAGATTTCTCTCTGCTCATAAAGACTCCAGCTGTTGGGATAGGGCCTCCCTCATCTAAGCTGCCTCAGCCATTCCGCAGAGACTTTGTTCACAGGATGTGGGTGAACCAGATTGTCGTCAGGGGGTCACAGTTCAACTGGATACAACCATTGAGCTGAGAGGCATGCTCCAAGGTTGTTGGGAAGATAAGATGAGCTCTGGGAGACTCTTAAGACTGTCGCTTCCATCATGGGTCTTTCAAAACGCACAAACTATTATGTTAATTTTTTTTTACCTCCTGTTCTTGAATTTCATGTGAAATGATATTATCATAAGTTTTAATGAGGAGGTGGCATTTTAATGTGGTGTGAATGAGACTCATTAATAATAGTGCCTTGAGAATGGAGTTACTGTAATGCAGACTGGCTTAAGGGTACTAGCTAACTGGCTCAAAAACCAGTTAGATCCCATGCCTTCAGACACTAGGCTATGAGAAATTGGAGTTTGGAGTGATCTGCATGGTAACTGAACAAGAAGAGTAAATGTGGTATGGGTTGTAAGTGTAAGTATGCATTGGTAATATGTTAGAGGATTTGGTGAGAAGGTCTGTGGTATTTATTAAAAATGATTCGAGAATAACAAGAGATATTTCCTGAAAGGGGATAGGGAGCTATTATGCTTAGCATTCATTACAAAAGCAGCATGTTAGAGGTAACTGAGAAATGAATACTTAATACCTTTATAATTTGTTTTATGCAAATACTGGGGAGCTGGAAGACTTCTGTTGAGCATTTTTATTCTGAATCTAAATTGGAATGCTTATTTTTAAAATCTGTACAAGTTCTACCTTTCCCACTTAAAAAATGTTTTTAGAGATCATCATATTTTTTTGCTTCATATTATCTTAAAGTTTTCATGTTGAAATGTTTTCTTTATCTGAGAAAGTACGGAAGCTATGCCTTTCTGCCTTCGAAAGATGTCATCTGTACTTCAGGCTAATTGCTCTACAAGGTAAATATCATCCATTTTTGCCTTCTAAGAGAATTGTTTTGTTGTGTAGATCCAACCGAGGACGACAATGAGCAAGTTGCCTATTCAAGCGAATGTGTACCCCATGACCACCATGGCCTACATCCAGGATACCAAGAATCGCTTGACGCTGCTGTCGGCTCAGTCCTTGGGTGTCTCCAGTTTGAGTAGTGGTGGGTGGTGTTTATGTTTGTTCCTACTCTGAAATGCCTCAGGTTCTCATGCATCATCTCTCCCTTGGTCAAAGGTAGGAATCACCCTCACTGTCTGCTTTCTAACCCTTTGCCCTCTCCAAAGAACACCGGGAGCCAAGGCGGTAGAAATGTGGAGATAAATAATTTCATGGAGTTAAAGATTCCAAAAGAGCATAAAGAGAGAAGACAGGGCGCAGCATGGTAGCCTAGCGGCGAAAGTCCTTGTCTTGCATGTGCCAGGATCCCATATGAACACCAGTTTGTGCCCCGGTGGCCTTGCTTCTCATCCAGCTCCCTGCTGTGGCTTGGGAAACTAGTCAAGGACAGTCCGAAGCCTTGCGACCCTGCACCCATGTGGGCAACCCAGAGAGAAGCTCCTGGCTTCAGATCAGTGAAGTTCCGGCCACTGTGTCCACTTGGGGAGTGATCAGTGTATGGAAGATCTTTCTCTCTGTCTCTCTTCCTTTCTGTATATCTGACTTTGCAATAAACAGAAAACACAACTTTAAAAAAAAAAAAAAGAGTAGACACTAGTTCACTTTGCACTAAGAGAATTGGATTCCTGTAGTATGTAGCTCTAACTGGCTATCTTGTATGCCACCAATTGCATCCTTTCTACATACTGAACTAGTGAAGATAAACACTGAACCAACCAGGCAGCTAATGGAGTACGGACCCCTGCTGTGTCCTCTGTACCAGCCCACTTTGTGTAGTAGACCTGTCCATTCTTCTCTCCTTGTACGTGTGGAAGGAGTTACTGCTGCTTATTTTCCTGTGTGTTTTCCCGATGCACAGTCACATGCACTCATGCTTAAAAGACACAAATTCAGTTATGAAGCTGGTCATGGTTTCCCCTCGGGGGCCTGGCGGGGGATGTCGGGCTGACAGGCAGGCAGACATGGCCACCGTGTACAGTGGTGCAACTGCACGTTATCCTTGTCTCCATTAGGGATGAGGAGCCAGCATTGCTTAAATATGTCAGTTTTTTTTTTTAAGAGGATTCCAGGATCCTGGAATGGTATGTGATGTTCATTCTCTGAAATAACCCTGTGTAAACAAGATCTGATACCTTTGCTTATGCCCTGCTTTAACTTCTCAAAGTGGGGCTGTGCACAGGGCACTGGGAAGCAGCATATACGCAGTGGTGACAATGTTGTCACTCCCCTGCAAAGACGCCTGAAATCACCATGCACCTGCTGCAGACCCCTGGATAACCTAGTGTTTGGGGAAAAACAGTTTGAGTTCAGTCCAGGAAGTGACATGTCCCGTGTTGTACAGAGGTTGATTTGGAGGCAGGAGAAGAATTAGAAATTGCTAAGAGATTGATGTTAATTTGAGGATGAAGCCGTGGGCAGCTCTGTGCCTGCAGACGCGAGTCCCAGACACTCCGGAGTGAGTGAGGAAGGATCTGTTCATGGGTGCTGGTACTTAGATTTGGGAGAAGAAGTGAACACTCCAATTGGTCTGACTGTGGAACAGCACAAACCGCTTAGCTGTTTCTCTTTTAGGTAGAATGACCATTTTAGTCCAGTAATAGATGCAAACAAACATACATTTTCAAGGTGTACAAAGCTTAAGCTTTTTGTGTCTTAATTATTACAATCTTATAGATAGCAGTCCATTTTTAAACATTTTTTGCTTTGTCATCTCATAAGCTAATCATAGTTTGCAGTGTGAGCTGGTGGACACGTGGGATTACTGATTAGCCCGAGTCAGGACGGTCCGAGGGGAATGGGAGTGTGAGAAGGCTGTCTCCGAATCCTGCAGCTTCTTTAGAACCACCCCCTGCAGACAACCTGAATCCTGTGTGCAAATCTGTCTGAGAGCCAGTGCGTCTGTGTATGTTACCACACTGGGGATGAAGTGCATTTCCTAATAAGCCTTCTAGATGCCTTTTTCAAGTTTAGGTTTGCACGCTTTTTGAATTTTCAAATGTCTTTTAGTTGACACATTGCATTTTAAAATTCCAAATGCTGGCACTAAAAGTTTGAGAGATCTTAACTTACTCTTTCAGGTTAATTGTTTTGAAAAGAATAAAGCTTTAGGTTCTGTTCTGAGCAGACCCTCTCACATTTCTAAACAGATGCTGTTCAGCATTAACAGGTAAAAGTACAAGTGCTGTCTTAGCTTGTGATTTTGTGGAAGCTGGTGGAGCTATCAGGAGAAACCCATGATAGCTTAGGTGATGTGTTCACCTCCCTGACTCAAACAGAAATGTAAAGCAAGGCATCATGCCTTCAACCTGAGCAATCCTCAATAAACGTTCGTATTGAAAAATCTGGTTAATTTTCCACTTGTTGATCAGGTCAGATTGAAGTCATCATGGATCGAAGACTCATGCAAGATGATAATCGTGGCCTGGGGCAAGGCGTCCGGGATAACAAGATCACTGCTAATCTGTTCCGAATACTGCTGGAAAAAAGAAGTGATGTTAACCTGGTAAGGAAAAATACCCGGTGTGTTCTTCTGATACTAAGTTGTCCTTTGTTTCACACATTGGCAGTGGTGACTTTCCACTTCTTGAGTTTTTTTTTTTGTTTGTTTGTTTGTTTCCAGAATTAAGATGTCTTAATAGCTCACACTCACAGAGACAGAACTGCAAAAATAAGCATTATTGAAGATGAAAATTTCAGGTCATTTTAGTTTTTCACTTTTGCTGAGTCTGTGGATAAATAATACCCAGGAATCATTTTGGATGGATTTTCAGAAATTATTTTGAAAGAAATTATCTATAAATGGAGCTAAGAAAGAGGTTAGAAAAAAAAAAAAACACAGCTCAGTCACCTGCTCAGGGAGATTATGTTTGATGAGTAGACTATTGAAAACTGGGGTTAGTCTTCTCTCAGAGCAAATTCTAATGCTGCTGCTGCACTGACAGAAGCCCTGCTGGTCTCGGGGAGGTGCTGTCAGCGCACAAATCCCTCCTGGTGTGGCCTTGGCCCCTTGTGTCTGCACTGATCCTTTTACTTCCTTCCTTGTTCTCTCCAACCTCTCTGCCACTCTAGCCAGAACGGACAGAGCTGTCTGCCTGGGCACCAGGCACCTGCCCACCTCCTGTTTTAGCTCTGGCATTTTGCTTTCATTCATCTCAGTCTGTCCACTTGGACCTGTAGTGCTTGACTCTCCTTTAGCTGCCCTACCACCGCTTCTGGCGGATCAGCACCCTGGGAGGCTAAAGACTTGTGGCCATGCCACAAGTGGGAAACTCAGCCGGCAGTCTGTCCCAGCTCTGGCTGCTGTGGGCATCTAGGGAGTAAACCTGTGGGTGCGAGGCTTCTCTCTCCCCCTCTTATTCTGCCTCTCTGTCTTTCAGGTAAATAAAAACACATAAACCTAGAGAAACGGGAGCAGAAACAGCCCTCACTCAAGTCTCTGTGCCCATTTTCTGTACGCCACTGTCGTCACTCTCTTATGGGCTCAACCAGAGTTTGAGATGAGTCTATTTTCTCACAATTCTTCCACTTACCTCTCATCAGCCTCCTCTGCATGTGGAGTTCTCTTGGGCATTTTCTGTCCCTGTGTTCCTTCCGCTTCCAGCAGCAGTGACATCAACCATCATCACGAAGCATATTGTCTGGCGGCAGGGCTGGCGGAGGGGGGCGGGGGGAGAGCGTGCAGAGTGGCTGGTGCCTCCCTCCCTGGATTCTCTGCCTACCCTTCTGGCCCTTCCCTGTTTGTCTGTATTTCTCACCCACCCCTTGTGCATTGGAGCCCTCAAGCCTGTCCCTGTCTCTCTTCTCAGCCCTAATGTCACTTCGCAGCCTGGTCTACTCATGTCAGCAGTCACCGCAGCTGTGCAGATGGGGCTACAGGTGTCTAGTCACATTCTGATCCTCCTTTCCCCTAGACCCAGGCCATTCCCAGTGTCCCCTCTGGCTCACAAGCCATTGCCCCCATCCAACTCAGGCCAGACACCCGGAGCTGCCGGTGACAGGCTTGGACACCACTGTCCCAACTTCTTCCTCAAACTGACCTTCCTGACCAGTGTGTGCCCTCCGCAGCGTGCTCCCCTTGCCATCACGATCTAAACCAGGATGTGTGTCACGACCTGCTGCCTCTCCCCAGTCAGCCACATGGGGCCTGAGCTCTGGGCCCACAGGTTTGCTCTCAGCCTTACGTCCTTGCAGAGCCCTCCCCCCTGGAGCAGTCCTGCGTTTTTCCATCACGTGCTCCATCTGAAGTGCTCTCAGCCATCCTGGAAACCAGACCTTCCTCCAGCAGTGTCCTCTGCGTGCACCCCTCAGCTCTGCTGCGTCCCTCCTCAATGTGTCTGCTCACTGTTCTTTTTTTCTGCTCCGTGGGAGTGGCACTGCCTCTCTGCTTCTTGGGATTATCTCTGGCAAAAGTGGGGTCCAACGTAGGGGAGTACATCGCAAGTTTCACAGTAAAATGGAACTAAGAGCTGAGCTTTATTTTGGTGCAAAAAAATAAATGCAATCCATGTCTGCAGTGGGTTTTCAGATTGTTTGTGGAGAAAGCATATTGTGAAAATACGTGTGTGGATTGTCAAGGTTATTTGCACCAAAGAAGCTTACCCTTGAATTCCACTTTTCCATGAACTTTTTGGGGTGTGCCGGTGAGTGAACACACAGGTGCTTGGGGGAATGAGCTGTTGTGGCACGTGGAACAGCTGTCTGTTGATTGGCACATCCTCACAGGTGCCTGCTGGGTTCCCCATGCTGGGTCCCAAGGCCTGGCCGCGCTTGAGGCAGAAGCCCAGAGGTCCTCCTTACCTGAGGTGGATCATCGCTTAAGGAAGTAGCACCAGTCGATTCAGTGAAATGGCAAAAGCTAATTGAAGCAAAGCGGGTTTTCAGTGTTTGGAATCTTTTAGAGACAATAATATCTAATTTAGTCGATTGGATTTACACCAGTTCTTGAGACTCATGGTTTATATCAATTACTGAGAAGATAGATCAGCGTCAAGGAATCAGAACTGCAATGGAAAATCAATTGTCAGAGTGTTGGCAGCTACTGTGTCTTCCTCCTCCTGCAAATGTGGCTGGCTTGTATGTTTCTGTCTCTATATTGACATTGAACTACAACACTTCTGTTAAGTATGGCAATAAAAATTTGCATGCCAGAATACAGAGCTTTCATTTAAAAGTTAAAGAATTCATTTGTTCCCATTCAAGACTTCTTGGATAATAATTGACTTACATTCAATCCATTATTTTCATTTCTTTACTTATTTATTTTTGAAGATTTGCTTATTTATTTGAACAACATAGTTACAGAGGGAGAGACAGAGAGATCTTCTGTCTACTGTTACTCCCCAAATGGCCACTGTGACTGGGTTGTGTTGAATCCAGCATCCAGAAGCCGTTCATGTATCCTGCAAAGGTGACAAGGACACAAGTACTTGGACCATATTCCACTGGTTTCTCAAGTACATTAACAGAGTAATGTATTAATGATGGAATAGAAGTAAAGCCACCAAGACTAACCAGTTTTCGCTGGCCTCACAGGCACTGGCATAAATCCAGTCCAATGTTTTAATGGCATTTGGTTACATTTTTCTTTTTCTGAGTCAGGTTTAAATCTCTAACTCATTTTTTTTTCTTGAAAATGTATTTATTCACTTGGAAAAGTAACAAAGAGAGAGAGAAGAAGAGACATACATACATATGTGAGAGGTATATAGACAGAGGTTGCAGGGGGTGGGAGAGCGAGAGTCTTCCATCCATTGGTTCACTCCCCAAATGACAACAGTCGGGGCTGGACCAGGCTAAACCAAGAGTTTAGAGCTTCTTTAGAGCCCCCTCATGGGTTCCAGAGCCCAAGGATTTTAATCTTCTGCTTTCTCAGGCACATTAGCAGGGAGCTGAATTGGAAATAGATCGGCTGGAATCAAATCAGTGCCCAAATGGAATGCTGGGGTCACAGGCAAAGGCTTAACCAGGTACACCAGAAAACCAACCTCCTACTGACTTCTTTTAAATAATAAATGAACGAGAGAACCAGCTTATTGAGAAGATACTTGAGTAAGAAATTCGATTTTCTAGGCAGTGCTGTTTGGAATGTCAAGTCTCTCAAGTCTAAGGCACTGGTAATGGAAAATGAAGTGGGGAGACATCCATCCCTTGGCTGGGAAGTTTTCACAGAACCCTTGGTCTTACCAGAGTTTTGTGGAAGCAACCCTGGGCTGACGCAGTGGGAAGTTAGCCTAATCCTGATAGTGTTCTACAGAGGCCAGAAGGGCAGGATTTGAGGGGTTCAGAAGCCCAGGGCATTCCCCATGGTCACCGGAAATGAGTGGAAATGGCCTCCTTGTGCTGGCTGCCTTAGATTTCACTCCCCGTCCCTGTGACTGATGGTTGGTACCGGAAAGGGGCCACGGAGCTAGGAACTAGAAGCTCCGGAAGGGTCCAGGTGTTACAGTGGTGCTGTTTTTGCCTCTGGATGCCAGTTCCGTACATCTTAGGAGGGGAGATTGGGAGACAGCAGAGTAAGAGCTCAGGCAGGGATCAGCAGGGTGATAAGGGTGCATGTTTAGGTTGGGAGAGCGGAAGGGCTGTGGTGAAGGTGGGACATGCGTCCCTCCAGCAGCCAGGACTCAGCAACGGGATGTTTCTACCTGGGAACATAAACCCAGCTGACTCAGATTTCCCATTATTTGGGGGTTTAAAAAATATCAAATATTGGTTCTAGAGTTATTTCCCGATTTTTAATGTAAATTATTTTAAAGAGTTAACTTTTTTTTTTTTTTTCCACTACCGGGCAGACCTGCCAAAACATGTGTATAGCTCAGTCTGGCCCACAGCTCGCTGGTCTTCAGCTCTGAGCTTGGTGCTCCCCTGTGGGTTTTCTCTCCTTCTCCTGCTCGGTGTGTTTACCCCACCCCTCTTCTGTCCGGTATTCCTGTTTCATTTATTTATATTGCATTTGCTTGTTAATTAGTAGTTATATTTCAACAAACATTTATTAAGTTCTCACCATGTGTCAGGTTAAACTGCATAAACAAAGCTGACTAAAAAAAAGATCGGGTACTCTTACATAATTTATCAAGTTGCAGTGAGATGAAGTGAAAGCTGTGTTGTTTGAGGATCAGCTCATCCAAGTGTATTTCATCCAAGACACCCAGGAGACTGGCAAAAGGACCTGACTCTCTGAAGAAAGCCTCAGACCTAGCGAGGACCAGCTCTGCTTTGTGCTTTGGTCTGAAACTCTAGCCAACATGCAACCAGTCACCCCAAAGCTAGGGAAATCCGCCTACAGCTGAAACACACATAAAATCTACAGCAAACACATTTTGTTACCTTTGGGTCTGTCACAAGCCTTATAGTTGGAGATTTACCTTCCTTTCCAGGAGATGTGTTAAAATATTCGTCATCCAACCCCCATATCCTGTTGAGTCCCATTGTTGCTGTGAATAGAAGGATGATTACAAAGCGTGTGATGGTGGGGACCTGGATGAGACTTTGCATTGTCAGCCTGGCTCGCCTCCAACAGCGTTACTTTTGACACTGAAGCACAGTTCTTCAGTAAACTTCCCTTTTTTTTTTTTTTTTATCTTGCTCAAGACAATAAATGGCACAACATGCTTTCACTCGCACTGTGCTTAGATGCGTGTTCTGGGAGATTTTTCATCGGCTTGTTTTTGAATCTCAAAATAACTCCTACTTTTGCTGCCAAAGTGGTCAGGAAGCTGTCTGGGCTGGCCCTGCCGCACAGACTCACCGAGCAGGGGATGGATCCGTCATGGGGTCAGACAAGCAGGGGTCAGACAAGCAAGGCCCAGCCACTGGGGCTTCTGTTCTAGGGATCTGGAGTTGGGACAAGGGAGTCTACATTTTCCTTTCTGAAGGCTGCCACGCGTTATTCCATGTTGCATGTGGGCAAGAGCCAGGAGCCTGGGGAACAGGCCTGATCTGGCCGATTGGTCCATGGATGCACATTGTTACTGCTTCCACACTGTACATGGTCTGTCAGGACATGCCCTGACTCCCCATCAAATGACTAGGCGTTCCTCCCACAATGCAGGCCAGAGCAAGAGGGCTTGTTGTAAATGTTTGCTAACCCGTCATGGACCTGCTGCCTCCTGAAGGCGACTGGACATGTGTTTTCCTTTCCATTAGAATTTTTATCCTTCACTACTCAAAACTGATTTTGCTAGCAGTCCTGTCCTAGATTGTCAAGTCCTTTGATCTGCACGTATATTTAAAGTGTCTTGTTGGAAATGGCCCCTCACTATTCAGGTTATTCTCAGCTGCATGAAGTATTTGGTGTTAGAGGAGAATGCTATTTTATATGCTTTAATTTATTCTTTTTTTTTTTAAAATAAAAGGATGTAGAATGGATACATTTTCTTGGAACTCTGAGAAATAATGTTTTTGTTGGTATTTGGCATTATAAGTTCTCTCTGCTGCCTTTAGAAAATATTTTTCCAGTGAATTGCAGTGACATCCACTATTGGCAGTTGCTACGATGCGCGTCACCATTTACTAGCATCCTTTTGACCAGTGCTAACTGGACATTCTGCTTGTTAAGCTCCGTATCTCTATAAACCCTGTCCACACAGACTAGTAGTGAAGGCTTTTATTTGAGACCTGTAGTACCAAAATATTAAGAAGAAATCAGTGGGATAGCTGTTTGAAAAAAAAAATAATGTGCAAAATTAAATTTGCTTCACCCGTACCTGCTTATCGGAGGCCCTCCATACAGAAGTTGTTTTCCCTTCCTAGTTCTGCCTTGGACCCATTCTTAATGCTTAGCCTTTACTGGTTCAGTTCTACTTATGCATAGGTTTAATTAATTTCCACATCATCTAACATGTGTGTCCCTAGTCCTGGTTTATTTGATGCTTAGACATAGAGAAATGTATGTGCATGCAAAACATAGCAAATTCTGAAGTATTTCAAAATTATGCTGAGTGATCATGTATAATATAAATATAGTAACTATTCTATAACATTTACACTTGTACCTGCTTTCAGAACAAAATAAAGCAAGTCAAATAATTTACCAAACTGAAAGGAAAACAATCAGGTGCCCTAGATAGACCATCCGAGGGTGGTTTTTTTTTTTTTTTTTTTTGGATGTATTCATTTGTTTGAAAGTCAGTTATAGAGCAAGGGGGAGAAGGTGAGACAGATCTTCCATCCACTGGTTCATTCCCCAGATGGCTACAATGGCTGAAGCCATTGCCAAAACTAGGGGCCAGGAGTTTCCTCCAGGTCTACGGCATGGGTGCAGGGTTCCAAGTGTTTGGGCCATCCTCTGCTGCTTTCCCAGGCACACTAGCAGAGGGCTGGATCAGAGTTGAGCAGCCTAAACTCATGTGAGATCCTTGTGTTTTAAATGGCAGGTTCACCTGCTCCCCTACAGAACAGGCACTAGATTATATTTAAAATAGAGTTTCTAAAAATACCGTTGTTGGATGCTGTTTAATTCCTATCATTTGGTAACATTAATAGGATGTGGTTTCAGATCAGTATGTGCATTCTATGGTATTTGTTAACCTTACCAATGAAACCACAAGGCTGTGATGAATGGACTCAGGAAAGGGATGCAGCATTAGATAATTTATATCATGAACACTGCAATTCTTAGTATGTGGTAGAATGAGAAATAGCTTCGCCTTGTCCAGAGATGTTTTGGGGACATATTTTCCATACTCACTATTGAATCAAGAAGAGCTATTTTACATATGTGTTAGGCAGACACTTGTCCATTTTCTTGGACTTCCTGTAACTGAGCTGGATGGTCTGTGTTTTCTAATATTGTTATTTACAAACTGTTCTAAAATCATAATCATCGGGCCCAGTGTGGGGACACAAAGGCTAAAATCCTCACCTTGCGTACCCAGGGGTCCCATATGAATGTCGATTCATGTTCCAGCTGCTCCAGCTCCCTGCCTGTGGTCTGGGAAAGCAGTAGCAGACAGCCCAAAGCCTTGGGACCCTGCACCTGCACAGGAGACCTGGAAGAAGCTCCTGGCTCCCGTCTTCAAATCGGCTCAGCTCCAGCCATTGTGGCTACTTGGAGAGTGAAACAGTGGACAAAAAGATCTTTCTCTCTGTATCTCCTTCTCTCTCTAAATCTGACTTTACAATAAAGATAAATAAATCCTAAAAATAAATACATAAATAAACAAATCTTCTGTGCGGGTGCAAGATCCCCAGGCTTTGGGCCATCCTCTACTGCTTTCCTAGGATGCAAGCAGGGAGCTGGATGGGAAGTGGAGCAGCTGGGACACAAACCAGTCTCCATATGGGATCCCTGCTCATGCAAGGCAAGGACTTCAATTACTAGGCTGCCGTGCCGGGCTCCATCACAGATTTTTATAAGGCGTCCTTGTAAGGTGATTCAAGTCATGGTGTTTTGTCTTGTCTTGACAGGAAGAAGAGAAGAATCCCGTGAGCTATCCCTCCCTCGTCAGCCACCTGACTTCTTTGTTCCTGAATCATCCTGTCTTTCCCATGATGGAGAAGATGTCAGCCAGCTCCAAGCTCCTGGGTGAATTCACCCCGCTCGCCTCGCCTCTGCCGTGTGACATCCACCTGGTTAACCTGAGGACCATTCAGGCCAAGGTATTTCCCCACGCAGAGCTAGGGAAGATGGTTTCTTGGTGAATTGTTGGTTTAAGAGGGTTGGCGGCTGGGGGAGCAGGGGAGGATACCGTGAGCTTTTCTCTGCCCTGACGAATCGTTAAAAGGGCTTCCCCTTTAGCTAAAATCGTTATGCTTTTCATTTGCCTGTTGTTCAGTAATTTAGAGAAAATCTCCATACTAATTTATTTGATCCTCGGAAAAGTTTTGTGGTGAGCAAGTCAGGAAGTACCGCATTTCTCCAGTTAAGGAAGCAAACAATAGCCCGAAGTCACATCATCTCGTAGGTGGAGAACAAGACCTCCCCATCGGCTCTCGTAACTTCTTCCATTGGTTTCTCTTTGTTAGGCAGGAGTTAGAGAAGCAGAAACCGTAGGGCTTAATTGCTTTTGGAATAGAGACCTTGCATTTTCATAGCTTTCTCAAGGCAGTCGTTGGAGTAGAGGCCTCGTTTTTGAGAAATCTCCTCTCTACGAGAAACATCAGAGGAGGAGCATGGGAGATGCAGCGTGGCTGGAACAGAATTCAGGGAGACCACTGTGGTTTGCATATAAGCCCAATGCTAAGGCCAGCGAGACTGCATTGGGAAAGAATACGAATTATGTCTTTACAGCCTGTTTTGATGTGAATTGGCAGATGTTTTGCTGGAAATAATAAGTGTTTATTGTCTGTGGAAATACCTCGGGGTAAACGGGCTCAGTATTGTCAAAGGGGGCATGCTTGTGTTTAAAGACAGCTCTGGGAGAGAGAAATAATTCAGAATAAAGAACAAGGGGAAAGGAAGAAGGGGAATAGGAGTGGGGGAAGCGGAGGAGAGTCGTTGTGTTGTTAGAGTTTGTTCTCTTGGCTTTTCTATCACCTTAAGATGGGAGGCAAGAATTGTGTCCTGGTGGCTACGCACTTGCTATGTCCCTGAGAATCTAATGTGTTAATAAACTCCTAAGACAATACATTTTAAATAGGAAAGAAACAAAAACAAACCAAAAAAGCTAAAGCAAGGAGAACCGTCTACAATGAGGACATATGGGAATTCACAAACTTGAGATCCAGTGAAAAGGACTTGTGCCTGGCCATGCAGAAAGACATAAGGACTTATAACAGTGCAGGTGACCTGTGAGGTATGTGCCCGTGTCACCACATGTAGCCAGGCTTGTCTCACCACGAGGGAACTTGGAGCATTTGTTGCCTGACCGCGACCTGCTAGTTCCCGCGAAAGGCTTTAGCGGTGCAACCATGAAGCTTAGATTCTGGTGGGAGAGTAAAACTGCAAAGTCAAGAAATGCAACATGCTCTGTGTAAGGCGGCCATGAGTGTTAGGTGGGGAGAGGGGATGGCAGGAAGGAAGAGCAATTTGGGAAAGGTTCAAGTTTGGTTAGGTTAATTGGACAGACCCCACAGACAAGGTGACAATAAATTGATCACTACAAGGAGGTCAGAGAGGAAGAGACTTCCACGGCCTTGGGGATGTGCAGTGCCCTGGGCAGAGTGCAGGGCAAGTGCACAAGCCTGACTTCAGGGGAGGTGGGCTGAACTCCAGTCCTAGAGAGCTGCTTCTATCCGTTGCTCTATTGTCCTGCCTGGAGTAGGTGCTCACTGCCTGTCGCATGAGTGAATGGTGTGGGTGTCCTCTCGGATTCTGGCACATTCTTGTCGCAGGCCAGCCTTTTGTTTCATGGGTGGTGCAGATAGGGCTGGGGAAGTCAACATTGATAACTTGTAAGCTCAAGGGTCTGAAAATACAGACCGGAAGACAGCCAAGACTCTGGGTTTTGGATTCTCCATCCATACTTCCTGGTGGAAAGTGTTAATGTACTGAGATGCCTAAGGGCCCGTGGGTAGATGAGGCCTCTGTTCCCACAGTACCTGGCCCATAATGGTTTGTAGTGGGATTGTTTTCAGGCAACAGCTTGAGCCAGCAAGAATCATTGAGTACAGAGTTTTACCCCCTAAAACACATGACTCCATTTCCATGTTACCTCTTTTTATTGGGAACCTCATTACTTCCTTGCTGTTGCCTGACCTCCCCAGATTGTAAACCCCATTGCCCTGCACACAGATTGGATTCTTGAGCCTTGAGCCCCTCCATGGTCTGGCTTCCCCTAACTGTGGGCTTGCGGTGGCAGATCTGACCCATACACAGATGTACCATCCTCATTGCCTGTAGCCAAGCAGCTGCCAACTTAGCTGCTGCTTAGGAAGCGGGACTGATACCAGCTATACCTGTATCACACCTAAAGCCCTTCAAAAGCAGAAATGCTTTATAAACATGCACCATTATCTTGCTGAGGTCCAGCAATCTCCAGGCTGGGTGCAAATTGAGAAGCCAGGGGCCCAGAGCGCCCTCCGTGTCTCCCATGATAGTTCAGGGTCCCAAGGCTTTGGGCTGTCCTCACCTGCTTTCCCAGGCCATAAGTAGGGTGCTGGATGGGAAGTGGGGCTGCTGGGATTAGAACTGGCACCCATATGGGATCCTGGTGCATGCAAGGTGAAGACTTTAGCCACTAAGCTACCGAGCCAGACCCATTCAGATGTTTTAATCTGATCTCCATACAGCAGAGTATTTCATAAGACTCATAGAAGAATGGAATTAAAAGAATTTTTGAGACTTATGCATTGTTGTTTGTTTTTTACAACCCTCATAACCTTTATGAAGACCCAACACATGTAAGGGTTTCAACAACAGCAAAAGCAATGTAAGATTTATGTGTATGTTTGAAAGGCAATGTCACAGAGAGAGTGGGAAACATGCAAAGACTTCCCAACTGCTCATTTGCTCTCCCAGTGGCCACATGGCTGGGATTTAGCCATGCCAAAAGCCAGGAGTCTTAGAATGCCAGCTGGATCTCCCCTGTGGGTGATAGAGGCCCATGGACCTGGACCATCTTCTGCTGCTTGCCAGGCACATTTACTAAGAGGCTGGAACATAAATGGAACAGCAAGGATTTGACTGGCTGCCATATGGGATGCCAGCATCGCAAACAGCTGCTTAAGCCACCACATCACAGTGCCATCTCCTTAAAACTTTTGTGCCAAAATAAATGTCACCATCAATTCTCTTTTCCATGAACTTTATAGAAGTTATTTATTTCTTTATTTGAGAGAAGAAAGACATGTCTAGGAACACAGGGGAAGTCGCCATTTGCTGGTTCACTCCCTGATGGCCCACAGTGGGCCTGACGCCAGATGCCAGGAGCTCCATCCCGTTTTCCCACATGGGGCAGAGGGGAGCAAAAATTGAGCTTCTCAAAGCCAGAAAATACTGCACCCTAGCAGGAGTGTGCATTCGCAGGAAGCTAGATGCAGGGACAAGAACCAAGAATCCAAGCCAGTTGTTCCCATGTGGACACCAGGCATCCTGCCCCACGTCTCACCTGCTGGGCCAAGCAGCCGCCTCCGTGAACCTTCTGAAATATCTATAGTGCAGTGAAGCTCTCTGTGCTGGACAGGATGTGTGGTTCCATGGTTACTTGTCTTATGCAAATAGTTAACCAGTCATCTCAACTTCAGCGCAACTTATGGAATAGGCTGCTTTCCTGCCACCCCCTCCCCAGTTATTTATGCTGCCACTTTTCTTCTAAAGATCAGCTTAAGAGTTTTTCCTTTATTTTGCCTTTCTTACAAGAATTGATTGGTGCTTTATTGATCTCACTAGCTTCTAGAGAGGTGAGAATTGCGAGAAAAAAAAAATTCCTTTGTTGTTCCTGTATTAACCTTCCCTTTGTCTCTGTCATCTCGTTGATCAAAACAAGATAGCTATTATTAGGATGTTTTAATGAGGACCCTAGAAAATGAATTGCTGCTGGTTACTTCCTGTCTCTGACTTCCAGCAAAGTGTACGATCTCCTGACCTCTGCCAAGGCTAGAATGGACTGCAGATGAAGGTCGTAGGGGGCTCTCGTAGCAACCTTCATGGGCTGCAGTAATCCCAGCATGTTTTCAACTGAGCCTTAGCATTCTTAGGCACCTTAAACTCTTAGGCTGTGTTGGAGAGTATGGCCCAAATTACGTCCTTCTGTTCATCAAAAAAATCCATGCATGTGCATAGAACTGTGTATCTTGTCAAGACAATGGCCCAAATCTCCCATCTCAAGTCCTTGATCACAGCCCATACTTTCCTTCGGAGGAAGAGTTGCCTGCACCCATGCTGGAGTCACATCATCTGGCTTTGAGTAGAGCTCCTCCCCTTGCTATTTGTGCCAAGTGCATCCAGAATTTCCAGAAGGGGGCCTTGAATCCTATTTGAAAAGGGGTGGATGAATGAAAGGGAGGTAGAAAGAGGCGACTGCACCATGCCAGTAGTGAGGAAAGCCTCTACATGCAATGCCAGTGTCCCATATGGGTGTGAGTTTGTGTCCTGGCTGTTCCACTTCCGATCTGGCTCTCTGCTAGTAGCCTGGGAAAAGCAGCAGAAGATGGAACACGTGTTTGGGCCCCTGCCAACCATGTGGGACACTTAAGTGATGCTCCTGGCTCCTGACTTTGATTTGGTCCAGTTGAAGCCAGATGAAAGATCTCTGCCTCTCCTTGTCTCTGTAACTTTTTAAGTAAATAAATATATTTGTTTTTAAAATTAATTTATTTTTATTTGGAAGACAGATTTTACATAAAGAGAAGTAAAGAGAAGGAGAGACACAGAGAGAGAATCCATCCACTGGTTCATTCCCTAAATGACCACAACAGCTGGAGCTCAACCAACTCAAAGCCAGGAGCCAGGAGCTTCTTCCCAGTCTCCCCTGGGAATGCAGGGGCCCCAGTACTTCATCTTTCACCTGCTGCTTTCCCAGGTCATAATCAGGGCACTGGATTGGAAGTAGAGCAACTGGGATATGAACCAACACCCATATTGGATCAGTGCTACAAGTGGAGGCTTAGTGGACTGTGCCACACGGTGCCAGACCTAATCAATCTTTCTTTTTTTCTTTTGTTGCACAGGCAGAAATTAGTTTCCAAACCTTGCTTTCTGTATCGTGTTTCTGGTTAAGTTTCAGCTCTACTGGAGCCATTGATCATGAAGTGCTTTTTTTTCTAGCCTTAAGTCATCAGAAAGGTTATCTCCTTTGGTTTACAACATTTTGTTCTAGTACATATGAAAACCCTTATCTTTTCCCTGCTGACTGATGAATATCTAATCATACCAGTTCATAGCCAGAGCAGAGGGGGAGAAGTAAGCTGGACCTGTTCTGGGGTCCTAGCTCAAGCATTTGAATGAGGCTCCTCCCCTTCCTAACCAGGTAATGTAGAGCAGGTCACGCCCTCATTAGGATCCTGCACATGACAATATGGGTCTCTCTGTGAGAGTTGCCCTGATGTTTATAAAGCAGTCTGGCTCATGGTCGGCTGGTATTTGGCAGGTACATTCTCAGCTGCGCTCCCTCTGTCACGAGCTGTCGTGAGGCTTACTAACAAGGAAGTAAAAATGTCAGAACCTTTTTTTATAAATAAGAGAAGGTAGACATTTATGACCAAAATAAATCTCGGTGTCACCTTGACTTATATCTCGGAGTTAATCATTCCTCACACACACACACACAACCAACATTCCCGGGGCAGGTTTTTAGCAGTAGCAGTGAGGATGCCAAATCCTATATCCAAGTGCCTAGGTTCCATCCCTGGCTCTGGGTCTAGTCCCCCGCCTCATCCTGATGCAGATCCTGGCAGGCAGCTGTGATGCCAGGTAATTGGGTTCCCGCTGCTGCAGTGGAGGACATGGGTGGAGTTACTAGCACTCAGCCTTGGGCCTGACTGGGCCTAGCGAATGCAGGCATTTGGGAAGTGACCCAGCAGGTGCCAGCTATCTCCCTGTGAAGTGTCTGCTTGCCAGGCGGTCTTTCCATGTGCTGCAGACTTAAGGCTCCCCAACACCAGTTAGAAAATAGGCAGTGTTTTTAGCCCTTCTTACATAAGAGCGGATGAACTGACTTGGACATGGTCGCTCATGTTGCCAGTAAATGGTGGTGCTGGGAAAGTGTGGGGGCTGTCACCACACTGCTTGCCGGAATCCCAAGGGACTCCTTCTAGTGACAAGGAGAGTAGGGAGTCTAAAAATGGTGGGGAACAGCCTGTCGATTTTTCTCATGTTTACTCAGGGAGTAGTGGACCCTCACAGAGGGATGTCCCACACCCTGGAGGGAAAGGTCATGACGTACCAGTGCGGGGTCCCTCGTGATCAGTGCTGCCGTGGTGGGCGCCGTGAGACAGGCATTGCCCTGCACTTTGACATACATTCACATGTGTGAGTATACACGGGAAGGCCACAGCAGCTGTCTCAGGGACTACTGCAAGAGAAGGCAAGTTAGCAGGCTTCTGCATGTGGTCTGCACACAGCAGGTACTTGGCAAGTGTCAGAAGTTGTCACTGTTGTTGAGGCTGGCCCCTGGAGCCTCCCAGGGACTCCCCCATGGGTCTCAATCAGCTCACTGCAGACATGAAATCCTTGACTCAGTTACCTAACTAGTGGATGGTGGAGCTTTCTCTGAGCCCAAGCATCCTCCCACACACTCCGGCCTTGCTTAGTCCCTGGGTTGGATGTCTGTTAGCTGCCCTGAGGTCAGTGCTGGGTAGTGTGGCACCATGGGGGTTTTAAACGCCGCAGCCTCACATGGGCTGTTACCCATTTGGCAAAGCCAGTCTGCCCTGTAGCATGGTGCCTGGCACGGTTTTGACACCTGCGTTTCCCCCCTTAGTGGGGAGCTGATGTCGGGGCTGCGTTAGTCAGGGTAACAATGCTTCCCTCAAAAATCTGTCTGTTGTCCTGGGGCGTGCTGTGCTGCTGTTTCGAGGGGGTGTGTTTTCCTTCTTGCATATTCAAGTTAAACTCACAGTTTTCCCTCCTTTGAAAAAAACAGTTTTCTTGGAAATAAAACGTTTAGACAGACTTTGAAACCGAAAGACTGCTGCTTTGCCTCAGGTATTTTTGCTTGGAAACTGATATTTTCATGAATATTTGATATTTCTTATTTTTTTTTTTACAAAAACTTGGACAAGAAGATTACTATTTCAGTTCTTCCAAAAAATGATATAGTTTTTTGGGTTTTTTTTTTTTAGAAAGTATAATGATTTTTTAAAAATAGGTTTAACTTTTGGTTTTGCATCATGGCTTTTCATCTCTTGGGTATTCTGGCCCCACTGCTCTTGTCCCTCTCAGCTTGCAAGGACCTTCGGAGTTCACCACTCCCCAAGCAAATGTGTTGTGGCTCTTGGAGCTGTGCCTACTATCAAGTGGCTTGTAAGGATGGTTCATTGAATGAAGGCCAAATGCTTCAGGTTAATAGTGACAAGTGATTTTAAAGAGTCTAATTAATAGGCCAGCTGATCTTTGAATGTTAAAAGACTCTAACGATGTGATATAAACCTCTAAACATGTAATTTGATGTTCCCCAATTCTTGAGCTACCAAGTGGCTATGTCGGTGAAAGAAATTTATGAATAAGAAATTAAATGAAAATATTGTGTCATTTGAAAGTATTGCAAAATGGTTGTTCCCACTGATTTGATGGATGACAGTGGTAGAAATACTACAAGACAACATGCTGTGTACCTGACCCTGGACCAAGTCGTAATTCTGTTCTTTTATTTCGCTTCATTTCTTCTCCGTTTTATGGGAAAGGTTTGGCTTTGCTGCAGTCACTAGCTAAAAGGTTGCAGAGCCTAGAGTCAGCTCGCAGGCTGTCTGACTCCCAGGCTGGTGGTGGGGCGGGGCTGAACTTGGCTTCCCCTGCACCTGACTCTGGTCAAGACAGCCGTTGGCTCCATTCTGCAGACATGGAAACTGATGTTCAGGGGGTAAATGTTCTTGGTGCAAGACAGAGTTCCTCTGGTTCTTGTTCTGAGGCTCCTGGTGGTATAGCGAGCGAAGGCTTGTTGAAATTCCATTAGAACTCTTTACCTGTCTGTTTAACTGTGGGTTTCACATGGTTGTGTAACAACTCAGAATTCCTTCAGTGGCTTTCCCCTCTCCCTTGGAACAAAATCATAGCAATACCATTACGAAACACTGTGGGGAAACGTCATAACGCAGCTTGCTGCAGTGAGGCATCATTGGTGAGGATGACGTCATCCAACTGTCGAGGATGACGTCATCCAACTGTCGAGGCACAGGACCATGCACTGGAGATGCAGGTGGTTCTGAAGATGCATCTCGGGCCTCCTCCCCGTGCTGGTCCTCAGGCCTCGTTTCCTCTGGGGGCTGCAGAAGGAAACAGCTCATTTATACCCCAGTGCTGGCGTCCAGCTGCACCTGCTTCATCTTTGAACAACTGTGTTTCTTAATTTTTTTTCCCCAAGGCTTTTGCATTCAAAGCACAAATATATTAACATAGTTGTGATTAATATATTCACAACCCCAAACCATTTTCCAGCATCATTTTTTTTTCTTTCCAGTGGAGGACAGACATTCTGCTGCAAAAAAAAAAAGTGCCTGCTCAGTCCCGCAGGTGACAGGTGACTGGTGTTTCTTTTTGTTTCACCTGCTCAGGATAAAAAGCTTCTGTAATGTGACTTCAGATGACACATTGAGCTAATAAATGGGGTTGGCCTCATGAATGATAAGCTGAAGTCAGGTTGAATGTTACTTGTACCAAAATAAGCAATACATGGGAGGTTCAGATGGTGAATGAGGTTAGCAAGGTAGCTACTGAGCAGAGAAGCAGGTTCCGGTTTAAGCGGGGAGGAAGGCGCATCTCACCATGACCAAAGGAGGACTCAGTTGTGATGTAACAGGACGCCTCTTCAGAAAGTTCTTGGAAAATCTATTCTAAAGACTACATTCCATTAAAAAAAATCTAGTTAAGTGCACCAAATTTTTTTTTGATTTCCATTTTCCAAGAATGTTTTGAAGCCCCCCCCCCTTACTTTATTCGACTGGTGCGTATATTTGAAATGGAAATGAAATATTGTCGTTGTGGACTCATAAAACAGTATGAAATAGGGAGGATCGTCACAACCGGCTCATGGAAAGTATGTATTATGGGGGAAAAATTACATGTAGGCTTGCAGGGGGTTTTCAGCACTGAAATGAACTTTTCATTCCACTTGTCCATGGTCTTTTCAAAGTGCCCTTGCGTGTACACAGAGGAGAGTGTGACTCTGGGGAATGTGGCTTCTTAAACTGTCAGCTCAGCCTGCTGTCACCTGGCTCAGAGGGGTGCTGGCAGGGGAGGGCTTGGAGCAGGTGAGTGTGTGTGTGTGTGTGCGTGCATGGAATCTGGGGAGAGGTGTACCTGCACAGTTCCATGGCGATGGGGATAATGGTTGGCACCTCAGCGAGCTGGTGGGCTGCGTTCCCACGGACCTCTTCTCTGTTCCTTTGCAGGTGGGCAACGGCTACTCTGACGAGGCAGCCTTGATCCTGCACAGGAAAGGCTTTGACTGTCGGTTTCCCAGTAGAAACACAGGGCTGTTTTGCTCTACCACTCAGGGAAAGGTGAGTGCTGTGAAAGTGTCCCCTTGGTGAGTGTGCTGCCCCTGCACGTGAGCTCACGCCCCCCGCTCCTCCAGTCTCCTGTCTTCCCTTTCCTCTGCCAGCCTCACCGTCACCCCCAGTACCTCCACCCCTGACCCACACACACTCACTGACCTGCAGCATCAGTGGTGGGCAGACACAAGTCCTTCAGCCACCCAGGCCCTTCCCATACTCACTACAGCAAGTAGGGATAGCAAGGATGCGCCCAAGGCAAGTCCATTCCAGAGGACCCCGGGGTCCACTTCCCTCCATCCCTGCTCAAGTGAAGTCCATGCTGAGAAGCACCGAGGCTACTGTTGGCTCTCCTCCTGTGTGTCCTCTGCATGATTGGAGGTTGCATGCTCTTGGTTCAGGAGTCTGAAAGGACTTAGTCGTGCATCTCCAGAGAGACAGTTGGGACACCTGGCAGGGCTGAACAGGTGAACCCTGCCTGCAGTGGCCCGGAACTCAATAGCACATAGAGCCCTGGTTCTGTGTCTTCACTGTGCTGGGACAGGGAGAAATGACTGCGAACCACACAGGTGAGAGATGGAGGGCAGAGACTGGGCCATGATCAGCATTGTTTTAAAAGCTGTACGTCCCCTAGATATTCTTTCTTTGATTGAGAAAGTGACCCTAACAAGTCATGAAATTCCCAAGCAGGGTAGAGTAGAGCATTCAGGGCACAGTCTGTGTACGCGAGCCTGCGTAACATCTGCATTTCTCCTTAGAGGGCTCTGTTCATATGCCTATGCTTTACCAGTCTTTGCTCAGTCGATTAATCTCAATATGTGAATGTGTTTCCTTTTCAGATCTCGGTACATAAACTTTTTACCAAGTTTACTGTTGAAAGCCTCACAGCTTCATCGTTATCATTGATGCATTCTCCTACAGACGCCCAGAACATAAGTGAGATCAACTTGAGTCCCATGGAAATCAGTACATTTCGCATCCGTTTGAGGTGAACGTGACTTGTAGATCTGGCTTGGGAACTGCTGGCTTTTCTACCTGTCTAGGTTTGACGTGCAATAAGGAAGCACATGATTTTAGCTTCTGGCTACGCTGAGAACATGATTCTGTAATTTAACAACAAATAGGACAGAAAGAAAAGCGAGAAAGCCATGCTATGACCCAGGTCTCTTCAAGCTCCTCCTGCGGATCTGCCATCGCTAGGAATGGATGCGAGAAGCGAAGAAGTATTTAAAGACAACCTCTCAACAGCTCATAACTCAGGTTAAATGCTCACTAATTCTGTCTGTGTTGGGGGTTGTGAAGAGATTTATATCTGTATTTGTATTGCTGATCCTTTTTCGGTTGTAAAGGAACACCTGTTTGACCAAAACGGAGTTGAAAAAAGCAAAAGCAACTGATGGGTAATAGCTAATGGCCAAAATGGTTACAATTATTCGTACACATTAGAGAAACTTGTGTGTGTTGAAATATGTGGAAAGTGCAATCCCTTGGCCCTTATTATAAACATAGCTGATTTTCACACCCTTTTTTATATGACCCTCTCAACCCTCCCCTGCCCTCCCTTTGTAAGGATTTCCAGAAATACCTGATTTTGAATCATGCAGCAGTAGAAAAAGAAGCATATTTTCATTACTTGACAATGTGGGATAGGTGCAAGTTATTCCATTGTCACTGAGATAGAAGAAGCAATTCCATAGGTACCATAAACCTATTTTGGGTACCTGCAAGGTGTCTTTTTACACAGCTCATTTGAATACAGGTGTTCTGAGATGGGGTTTTCTATTTTAAAATTACCATATCAAAATAAATGTGCCTTATTTTTTTATAAGTCTTGTTAAATCTTTTGGTGTCCATATTACTGTCAGGGGAGGGAGGACACTGGGGGGAAGGGGCGTGGGTACTTCTTACGGCACATAAATTATGTGATTTTTGCCTGACAATACCGGCCACCTTCTGATCTGTTTCATTCCATTTGGGGTGATGTCACTTGATGTTACTCTTAAATTTTTTGACTATTTGAATGTACTAAGATGTCAGATAACAAAATAGGGAAGGAAAATGTTGTTCTTTACAATATGCTGCTGCCAAGGAAGCTGCAACTTGAAGCGTGGATTTTGTGACACGCAAAATTCAGATGTTTCCGTTTCCCAGTAGTTCATCATGTTGAAGAGAGAATGCTTTAAGATAAACCTTATTTGGAAACCCACATCTATGTAGCTCATCGTGACTTATCAAAGAATGTTTGTGCAGCTGATTGCAAACTCTTGTTTATGTTAACCTCAAAGCGACGTTCCAAGCCCATGTGCCATTACAGAACTTTGAATAAAGTGTATTTGGGAATCACTGTTTCCTTAATTTTAAAATAGCAGCAACATTTAGTTCCCACACAGGAAGGACTCTTCGGGTATTCACAAAGTTTTACCAATTCTGACTTTAAACTTCTGTTGACTTGTCTTCGTGGAAACCCGAAAGCCAGACTTCTGTCTTCCCATGTCTCTGGATTTTCAGTCAAGATGTAGCTCCTAAGATTATGGTTACTATGATGAATTCTTACCTCCTTCGCCTTTAAGAATTAAGGAAACAGTACCAGTGTTGATAAAGATACTGTGGAGAGGCTTAATTTTCCTGCAATAAACTCACATTGTACGTTTCCTTCCTTGCTTTTTTTTTGAGAGTCAACAGCTGAAAAAAAAAATGCTTCCTTTTTGTGGACATCTGCAGGCGATAAGGTCGTCAGAAGCAAATCCCAGGAACAAGATCAGTGTTGTCAAGCCTCCCAGGGGAGTTCACTGTGTCCTGTGGTTAAGTGGGTGTGCTTGCTTAATCACTCTGGAAATTCTGATCAAATGAGATACAGACCTGTTGCAATAACGGTGGCTCTGCCACTTCCAGTTGTTAGAGAAAGGTCTGTCCTGTGTCTGTCGGAGTTTTATTCCCTGTGTGTTGCCACCAGCTGCTCCCAGGTAAAGCAGAAATTCACCATAACCAGCAAGTTTCTGCATTTCAGAGTTACTTTTAGAATAAATCATCAGGGAAATTAAAAAAAAAAAAAGATGCTTTCATTTGGGTGTGGTCAAGAATTCAGTACATCATTTCGTGTCACTGGCACACATTGGTACTGATCTCCGTGGCGTGCTTGATTTTATTGCATTTTCTAGCACGATTATTCGGTTGGCTAAGTAGCTCTTTCATTTCTCTCTGACTCTGTCTCACTCTTTCCTCTTCTCTTCTCCTCTGCCTCTCAGTTTCTGCCTTTCTCTTCTCCCCCTCTCCCCTGCTTTGGAAATTTTAATTTGGGGTTATAACAAGTCTTCAAGATCTGATCATCTTTGTTTTCTATAAATAAATGATTAAACACTGTAAAATGTGTTGTAAAACATTGTAATTATCTTCCTGGATTTTGTTGTTGTTGTTGTTGTTGTTATTGTTGTTGTTATAGCTGTGCCGAAATATTTTCATATTCCTTTGAAAAACAAAAGTTTGGTTTCATTTTGATTGTTTTCTCACCTTGGAATCAACAGGTTTTGATATTTTCTCTTGGAAGATTTTATATCTTTTTGGGATTATGTAATATAAGATCTCTAATAAAAGATAATCTCATCCTGTGCCTGATTCCATGGAGTAATTTTTATTTGTATTTTGTAAGCAGTAGCATGAAAACTTCAGAGTGGAGAGGGCCTGTTCTTGGTTCCTTGAGGAGTGAATTGCTACTATGTCAACCCAGTTCCGATTAATCGAGAGAACATCCTTTTAGAAAGCCGTGGGGGCCTGTGGCTGGCGGGGAGTTCAACGTTTCTGGGTCTAGGGACTCCTGTGAGATTGCAGTCCAGGAACTTTCCTGACAGCCATGCGTAGGGGGCCTTCTGGCTGGTTGGGAGGGGTAGGTGTCAGTATATGAGCAGATGAGATATGAAGGAATCAGCCAAAACAGTAAGCTGGAGAGTCCATGGGAGTTGATCTAAAGGTAAGGGGAGTTGGAAGAGGTTCTGTATCATGCCCCCAGCCCAGGCTAGTCCTTAGCTTCTGTGACTTTAAGGCAGTTGTTCCAAATTGCATGATAGGAAACGGTGAAGGATAAATGACCTGGAAATGTCCATGGTTGAGCCAGGTACATAGTGCATTCAGACTGGGAAATTGGGAGTTATTGCGCGAAAGAGATAATTAGCTCATGTAAGCGCATGGAGTTAGGGTCAGCAGAATCACGTGGACAAACGTGCCCAAGTAAATGGAACTCACAGGCCAAGAAACAGCCCTTGGATGTAAATGGGATTGTGATCTGAAACAGAAAGCAGACCTGGAAGTTCCAGAGAAGATTCCATAGAAGAAGCAGATGAGATCATACCTAATGACTTCAACAGGTGGGAACAGTGTGCGCCCCTAAAGGAGGCTGGCCTAGAGACGTAATGAGCTCTGAGTGCATTGGTACTGTCCAGTAAAACTTTGATGAGCAAAATTTGCACTATACCTGCATGGGCAAATGCAGCCCTGTGTGGTTTTTGGACATTGAACTATAAGACCGTCTCAGAAACTGAATATGTGACAGTATTCTAATGTCCTTTAAGGAGAAGCGTTTGCCTGTTTTGCCATTCTGGTCTGAAGCAAGTCTAGAAGACATCAGCAAGTACAACTGAAAGTTCAAGTTAGGTCCCGTTTTAATAGAATCCTGCTACTCAGAAAGTGTTGGCCTCAGACCAGAAACATCTGCAGTACGTGGAAGCTTGTTAGAAATGCAGACTCAAGCCCTCGTCTGGGCCAGCTGAATCAGGGTCTGGTTTTAACAAGCTCCCAGGAGTATTGATGTGTTCACTAAAGCGCCAACTCAGTGCTCAAGAACAGGGTCTCTGCCTGCTTTCCAATGTGTTCTTTCTTACCGTCACTTGACAGTTAAGGCTTGTACCCTACAATTTCTTCTCCCAGAAAGCCGGCTGTGAGTTCTTGGCCACTTACCCACATCACCCAGTCCCACATGCTGTACAGTCTAGACTGTGCTGTCCCAAGGTTGCTGCTTCTGCCAGTCCTATCCTTTCCTACACAGTCACCAAAGTAGGCTGCCATTGAAAATCTATCTTTTTAAAAAAAATTTTTAATACACCAGAATAACAGAAATTGGTTAAGAAATGCTTTCCCAGCCCAACTCCTCAGCTTCTCAAAACCGCAACTGAAAACACAGGCTACTTGGAAAGAACACAGGTTGGTTTTGCCTCGTGGTTTTAGAGCGAGGTTCAGTTTCAAGTTCCTGCAGACCTGTAGTTTGGCCAGCTGGTGAGGTCAGCGGGTGGCAACAATGCCATGGCCAGAAGGATCACAAGCTGGGCCAGTAAGGAGAGGCTGAGCCCAGCTTGACCTGTGTTATAACCTTCTCATGAGAAGGACATTCCCCCATTGCCTTGAGGACCTCTGAATGGCCCAACTCCCAAGCTCCACCTCTGGAGGTTCTAGTCTCCTCTCCCATCAGTGTGTGACTTTGAGATGTAATCATCTGAATGAGATGTTCCACCGTTGGCTAGGAATTTATGTGTGTCTGACTAGCCCAAATGATTCTGCCATGGAAAGACTTTCCATTTGTTCTCTGTACTTGGAAATCTCTGCCCTGAGATCTCTCTTTTTTTTTTTTTTTTTTTTTTTTTTTGTCTAGGCTCAGCTGTCCTCAGCACTCTCGTTTGGAGCCGGTGTTGTGGGATAATCACGGGTTAAGTCACCACTCGTGATGTCTGTACCCATATCGGATTCAAGCGCCGGTTGTTCTTTTGGATCATGCTCTCTGCGAGTGTGCCTGGGAAAGCCATAGGTGATGGCGCAGAAGATGGAGTTCTAGGATCCTGACTTCTGCCTGACCTGATTCTCTCTGTTTCACCCATTTGGAGAGTGACACAGCAGGTGGCAAATCTGTCTGTCCTCCCACTCTGTGTCTGTTCTCCATCATTTTGTCTCTCAAATAAATATTTTGAAAAATTAAGGATTCTGCATAGGCTCCCCCCTCTGCTGCTTGCTGACTTTCTTTCCCAACCACTTTTACTCGTAGCAAAGTAAACCTGATTTTTTTTATTATCGTTTTTCTTTAATACTTGAAAGGTAGAAAGTGGGAGTGGGTCTTTCATCCACAGGTTTCCTCCCGAGTCCCCTCCTTAAGACCCAAGAATAAACCGAGCTAAAGCCAGGAGACAGGACTCCGTCTGGGTTTCCCCCTGTGAGTAGAAGAGACCCAAGTACTTGAGCCATCACCTGGTGGCTTGCTGGATACACATTAGTAGGAAGTTGGAATAAAAAATGAGGCTGAGATTCAAGATACTTTAACAGGAGCTGTGGGTAAAGCAACATCTTGACCCATGTGCCAGTGTCCACTGTGAAACCTGAAAGCTGTCTTGCCCCTAGAAGGTGTCATCAGAAGCCAGGGTGCCCACCCACCTTATTTGACATTGAAATCCACCCACTTGGAATAACAGGTGTCTGGAAATATTCAATAAATGAATGATAATATGAGGATACTTCAAAGAGATCATGCAAATTGAATTAAAAGATGCATTTGGACACATAAAATGGAAATCTGTACATACAATGAGTCTTCAAAAAGTTCATGAAAAACTACATGAATTTCAAAATTTTTGCATCATAATAAACTTCTTTTAATTTCCTTTTTCTGCAAACTCTTTGAAGTGTGTTTATCAACCACCTGTAGATGTTGTGAAACATAATTTTGGAATAAAAAGCTGAAAAGTCTCTTAAGCTTAATTATATCTGTTAACGATATTCTCCCTTCTGGAAGCCCATATTCCCATAGCAAGAAATGAACATGGAAATCCTTCAAACCCTAACACCTCAAAAGATATGATCACTTGAAAGGCAGCATAGTCTATCCGCCAAACTCAGACCTCCCACCTTCTTCCTTCAATCAATACTGATTTTATCCAAGCATTGAGTAATATGAACCTATTGGGGATGGGGATGAATCATGATTGGTCTAAATTGTCCAAAGTTCTTTACCAGGTTGGGTGATTGGTTTAGTACCCCAACTGTGACTGATGAATTATTATGGGAAGGTAGTGTTGCCCTTACGGGGCAAAGCTGTGTCAGTGTTAATGATGGAGCTTCACTATTTAGGCCACTTTGATTTAAGCGCTATGTTTCACAGGACTAAAAGCACGTAGGCTGATTCCCTAGGGTGGCTGCCCTGGGCTGTGTTTACTGCAGTAATGAACATTTGTGGAGTTCTCAGAACACAGCCTCTCGCTTTGCCCCTGCAGTCCTCGCCCCTTGGCCTGTTTTGCTGAAAACTCTTAAAATCATGCCCAATTCATTACACAGTGTAATTTTTTTTCCAAATATAACGTGGGAAGGCAAGTGTTTAAAGATGTGACGTGAAGCCTGTAAGGAGGCACTTGCTAACCAACTACTACTTTGGCATTATATGCCCAAGGAATACTCCCAGAGATCAAGAGAAATAGTAAGATGGCACTCAGCAGGGGCAAGACATGAGAGGCAGGTAGCTTCCTGGGAGCACATCAACTAAGTCCTGAAATATGTGACGCTTTGTCAGATGGTTCTGGTCATCTGAGAACAGGACCTGGATATCTGAGCCTACAGACTGTTCTAATTCCAAGGGTGTATTTTAAGAACTTGACACAGTGTAGTGTCTTTGGCTTTTCTTCTCTGTAGGTTTCTAATTGTTTTTACTTCACAGCTTAGCAAGCAAACGCATCTCCCAAACCTGGGATGTAAAACTCTTTTCACTAAACCAAGCAGAACTCTCAGTGGTTGGCTGTCAAAGCATTGTTTGCAAATGAGGGAAGGTTTTTGGTTTGGTCCAAAACCCCTTCTAACAGAAGACCCAGAGCACTAGACCTTCTGGGGTTGGACTTTTCTCACCATGTGCAGAGCTGAAATCATCCCAGACAATATGAATGGAAGGAAGAGAAACTAGTTGACTCATTCACTTATTTTGTTTTTCTTAATATATTTTTTTTGGCATGATTAATAAAATTATTGGAAAGTTAAAACCCATTTTCTCAGATGAGATCTTCAGATTCATCCTTACCGAGTGGGGATTCTGTGGGGTCCCTTCCATAGAACCGGAAGGCAATACACTTTAAGTTTTGTGTAATGCTTTCAGTCAATAAACATGACTGGAGATTGTCATTTGGGCAGGTGCCTGGGGGAAATCTTAACCACCTGTCCTCCTGCCTAGTCGGGGAGACAAGTCCTGATGGAGCCAAGGTGCCACAGATGACAGAGCAGACGGGGCACACTGAAGTCAAAGCACTAGACACTGTGAACAGCGAGGAAGGGGGCTGCCCTTCCACCAAGAGGAGGCAGAAAGGAGAGGAGGTGGGAAGATCTGGGCTGAACCCGGCAGGATAAAAGGGAGGAGGGTTGCAATGATGAGCCAGCTCCTGAAGGGTGGAAGTTTCATAAAGGAAAATGATTGCAAGCTCGACTGGAAATGTTTCTGTCTAGCACTCCCAGCAATTTGAACGCAAGGCTAGGAAATGGGGACATGGCTGTGTATACACCAACAGTGCTTTGTAAACACATTTAAGAATCAACATGAAGAAGCGTGTGTGTTAGTTTCAGAAAGCCTGAACATAAAACTACGTACAATTACTTG